GAGTAACCTCTTGCAGTTACTTTTTCACCAAATGCATTAAAATTGAAACATATCTTTCAGCAAGTACAAATAGGGCTTTCCTTCTGCATTCAGCAACCTAAGGCTTAGGTTTTTAAAGGATATCCTTTCTGCATACTCACAGTACAACACGAACGCTTTCTCAGTGGAAGCCTACAGGGCCCCGAAGCTGGAAGTGGTTTTAAATTTGGTCATAAGATCTCCCTGTTTGGGTTTTTTTGTTCCACACTCGTGATTCTTTCCCATTCTGATGGTGATGGGCAGGGAGGAAAGATGTGTGCTCCTATTCTGTGTGTGCACACATGCGCATGCATGCACATATGTCAAACTAAGGCCAAATGAGCAAGATGGGAAATAAGGGCCAATGGGGGGGAATAAGGGTGGAGTAAGAGGCATCGCTTGCTACAAAACTTGAGAGCAGTCATGGGAATAGTGAGTGATTGATGTGGGCAAGGGATAAAAAGATGGCAGTGGGGCAGAAAAATATCTGGCATGGCTTTGCATTCATCGCCGCTACAATCGAAATTACATAAGGCTGTTAACTCACACATGAATGTGCACTTAATGAAATCAATTGCCTTTTCTTTCTTTCTTTTCTACTATCCTGAGCCCCATGGCAATGCAAACCCACACATGGATACTGTATTGATAGAACGGCCACAAGTGGATTCCAAAAGACCCAAGCCCAGGGGCACTGTTGTGGTGGTGGTTGTGTGCCTTCATGTTGCTTCTGGCTTCTGGCAACCCTCAGACACAAGGTTTTCTCAGCAAGATTTGTTCACAGAGGGTTTGCCACTGCCTTCCTCTAAGGCTGAGAGAGAGCTTAACTTGCTCCAGGTCACCCAGTGGGTTTCCACAGCTGAGCAGAGATTCTTACCCAAAGAACAGAAAAAACAAAATACCCAAAGAACTGTTCTTACCCAAAGAACAGTTTGAGGAAACCGAGGGGTCTCCACCAATTGTCAGTGATACACCAAATGTGCATGAAATTAGCTTTTCAAGAAGCATGGGTAACCTTTGGATCATTTGCACCAGTGTACACCAGTAATAACTTGGAGGGCTGCAAGTTTGGGGTGAATTAAGATTTTATTTATAAAAATGCAGAGTGCAAGATTTGTTCAGAAAGGGTTTGCCATTGCCTTCCTCTGAAGCTGTGAAAGTGTGACTTGCTCTCAAAGTCAAGCAGGGATTTGAACCCTGGTCTCCCAAAGTCCTAGGCCAACCACTACACCATCCTGGCTCTCAGTGGCATTTTACAATGGTGGAAAAAGGCATTTTCCTACCTTTCCTATTGCCACAAGAGGTCTGGGGGTCCAAGGTCTCTCTCAACCTCCCAGCCCATCAAATCCTTATATAACACTGAAGGCTCAGTATCCTTTTGATTCATTTACTAGTCACTATCTTCTCCTCCATTATTTTATAAGCAAAGTGTGAGAATTTTGTTCTGTGTTAAAAAATAAAATAGAGTGGGGAAACCTACTATTGTTGTCTCTGTTCTACATTACTTGGCAGATCATACTTCAGGTCTGTACAGTTTGAAATGCCTCTGAGTCCTAGACAGTCACTTTTCTAGAAGTATTACAGCCCAAATCTCCCCTCCCAGTCATGCTTGCTTAGGGATTCTGGGAATTGTACTAAATATAATCCCCACAAACTTTTCTCAGCTCTAGTCTTTAAGGAGGCTAAAATGGTTCCCTCTGCTCTCTTTCTGCTGCCAAGTGAAAACTTTCCTATTTTAGACTTTTTGGAATTGACTGCAATAGGCTTTTAACAGCGTCATTATTTTATTGATGTTGTTTTTAAATATCCTGTCTATTAATAAATTTGTTTTGCTTCTTGTTGTGTGCCTTCAAATCATTTCCAACCTATGATGACCCTATTCTCCAGTATCTTCATCAAGGTGGATGCTAAGCAAACAAAGGGCTTGGACATGTAGAGCGTGGGGACCTTGCTTGACAGCAAAGCCACGAGGTCTGCATTTGGACACAGTCTTAAAATGGAGCAAAGGAAGAGACAGCAGAGTTATTAACTGGATTAAGCTCTGCTCGGTACTATGCAGGCTTCAGGTTGCACCTTGGATTGCTGGGATTAAGAAACATAACAACGGCTGATCCCTCAGTTTTGATAATACAAAACCCAGCAGTTTCCCAGCTCTGTCTGCAGCCTTAACCCTCTTGCACTTGGACCAAATGAGCATTTGGCTTTGTGATTTATTTTAACCCAACTCCTTCGTGGGTGAAGTCCCAATTTGTCCCTCGGACTCAGTCAAGCACAATAGTCATGGCCAAACTCTAATTGCCAAACAAGAAATCCAATAACATTCTGCAAAAGATCCCATGAACAGCGTCATCCCTGGCTAGGATGAGACATGCTGCAGAATCCACAAACAACCAGACCCAGCTATACTACAGATCATGTTATCACTTGCATAATTGTAAACAGTGGTCCAGATCCAACTGCTAGTCCAAACCAGAGTAGACCCAAAGGGAATTTAGCAAGTTCCACAGATTTTGAATAGGATTAAGCCTACCAGGAGTGTGGAACATGTAGTCCTAAAGATGTTGGACTGCAGCTCCCATCAGCCTTATAGCCAATGGTGAAGCAAGGTGGAGAACAGATGCTTCCCATCCTTGAGGTATGCCAATGTTCCTTGCCTAACAAATCCCTATGAAATGCATGGCGTCACCATAAGTCTGTAAGCAACTTGAAGGCACAACACCATACATTATGTTCCCAAATTTCAGCTATTTGCATTGTACAAGGTCCCTCCCTTCATAAACAAAACAATGTCTAGAACAAACCATGTCCCAATAAATCTATTGTGTTTTCCCACTGCAGTACTGTTATGTCTCAGCCAGCATAATATATTGTGACAATAAATCTCCCATGTTGCCAACTTTTTGCAAGCCATGGTCCAGGAAAGCAGAAGTGTCAAGCTCTTATTGTTTCAAGAGTGGGGGGACTGGAATTATTTGATTTTATTCAACTTTATGTTTTATGGCTCTGGATGAATGGATATGTCACACATGATTCTGTACAAACATCATGGATATGGATCATTTTTATACCCCACTAGAATTTCATTGGAGGTTCACTGTGCGTTCTCCTTGAACAGGGGAAAAATCCAACACATTTTATTGTTTTAGGGTTGTTGCCTTTTACTTTTTCTTTTTTTTACCATAGATAACATTATGGCATTCTGTTTTGGGGGCTACAAAAACTGGCTTTGGGGTCCGCATGTGGTCCACACCTTTCACATCCCCTACCTTACGGCAGAAGCATTTGTGAATTACAGAAATGGGGAGTTTTGCCCTATAAATCAGGAAAGAAATGCTCCTGAAGAATAAATGTATCCAGTATACACAGAGTTATATCCTTCTGTGAACTCATAGCGTGGTGGTGGATCATAGAAAAGCCTGCGATGGGCAAACATAACAACCGAGGGGGGATAGTGTGGGAATGTTCCCACACTATACAGGACTTAATCCCTGAAACTCTAGTTTGTGTTTCAACAGAGAGATGAATTACAGACACAGCACTCATACCTCCATTCCCATTCTTCCTGTGGTTGAGCCCCGAGGGCCAGTTCTCACAAAAGTGGCCAACTGCATCTGGGCAGCACCACTTCAGTACCGCTGTGGGCAAAGGCTTAGTGACCCTTCCTAGCATCTTTTATAAAGAGGTGAGGGAGAAGGGCGAAATTCTTCCCTCCATCTTCTTTGAGCAAGGAAGATCTTTGTGTAGAGGAATGCATGGTCCTTAAACTCAATGGCCTTTACTTCTGTATCCACAGTCTGCCATGGTACAAGTCCATGTGCAGGCTACCCACCTCAGGAGTTGACTCTCCTATCTTCTTTAGATGATAAATGGAGCCTCCCAGAAGAAGGGAAGAACATATACCTTCCCAAAATGGCAACAGAATAAAATAAATTGAGAGTAAATAAATTTACTGGGAAGTAAAAAATGCCTTTTGAATATTAAAGCTTGCAAAAAAATAATAAAAATCCAAATTTCTCTCTTTCTAGCTGAGCGGCCAAAGAGCCACAAGGTTCAAATACTGAACAGACAATCAAGAGATGGACAGAACATACAGAAGTCAGACAGAAAAGGAATTTTCAGAAAATTCAGGAAGACAGACAGATGGACCCTATAATTCTCTTTCCCTTCCTTAACACAAAATGCTCTCTTGTCCCCATCCTGAGGCCCTTTCACACTACACAATTATAGATTCCACCTCAATTGCTATGGCTGCATCCTATATAATCTTGGGATCTGCAGTTTGGGAAGGCACTAGAGCTCCCTGGGAGAGATTCTATTTGCATCTCCCTACACTGCAGATTCAATAGGATGTTATCATGGCAACTGAGGTGGAATCATGGTGGAATAATTGTGTAGTGTGAAAGGGAGCCACATTTCCAAATATGGCTTTTATGCTTTTCTCCATTACGAGAAAGGCTAACATTTCTAAATGCACACTCAAGATTCTCCTAATGGCATATTCAGATAATCAGATCAACGCTCCTGTGGCAAACATGGGGAATATGATGATACCAAATTTAGTGGTGCTCAATTAAACCATAATCAGAAGTGGCTGAATCTCTTAACAGAGTACTTCTGAAATAAAGATTAGATGCTTAAAATAGATGCTTTCACCCAGCTCAGCCCTTATGGTCTTCCTTTGGCAATAGGTAGAGGAAACTGCCTGAGCAACTCTATGCTGTCTCTCTGCAACTGAGAGAATGACACCCTTGGGTTGATTTAGGGGGCCCTGGACAATTTGTGAATGGAAGAACCCTTTCTTCTAAAGGGAATGCACCAACGTAGTAATTGGAACCCCCGACTGAGAAGCTAAGTGAGATGGGAGGGTGTTCGGCACCCAAAAGGATGTATCTCCCTAGAGATATCTAGCAAACAGACCAGCTTTTGCTAGGCTGTGGAATGATGGGGAATTTAACCCCTTTTATTGGCACAGAGGCATGAAAGCCAGTGTGGCATAGTGGTTCGAGTGCTGGAATATAACTCTGGAGACCAGGGTTCAAACCCCTGCTCAGCCACAGAAACCCACTTAGGCAGCCCACACTCTCTCAGCCTCAGAGGAAGGCAAAGGCAAACCTCCTCTGAACAAATCTGACCGAGAAACCCCCGTGATAGATAGGGTTACCAAAAGTCAGAAACAACTTGAAAGCACACAGCAACAACTTACTTACAGAAGGGATACAGACTGTGTGGCCCTCCAGATATTCATTAATTACAACTCCCATTATTCCTCACCATTTGCCAGGTGGCTCAAGCTGTTGGGAGTTGTAGCATAACAACACTTGGATGGCCACACAAGCTGTACACTCAGTCTCTAGCGTTGCCAGCAGCACAGCCTATTAACTTACAGAATCAGGCAATCCGTTCCCACCACTAAAAGGTAGTGCCAAGGTGAGTTGTAGCATATACTAAGAGTGAAAACTTGGCCCCGATCCCTGTAAAGTTGCCCAACCCTGCTCTAAGGCATGACCCATCTGATGTTAGATTGAAAACCCCCTCAGTTCTCACCTTTGGCTATAAATGGCTCTGGCTGACAGGAGTTACAACCTTTGAAGCAGGGGTAGGCAACCTAAGGCCCGGGGGCCGCACGCGGCCCCCCGCGGCCTTTGGGCCGGCCCCAGGTCAGTCCTGCCGCCACCACCCCCCTGCCGCCGCCGCCACCTGCCATGATAATATTGATTATTGTTTTTATTACTTGTTCTTGGGGTTTTCTTGGCAAAATCTCCACAGGGGTTTTGCCATGGCTTTTCTAGGGCTGAGTGTGCATGCATATTTTTTTTTTATTTTATTATTTATTTATTTATTTAGTTAGTTAGTTATTTTTGGTGCTTCGGCCCCCCAATTGTCTGAGGGACAGCAACCCGGCCCCCGGCTCAAAAAGGTTGCCTACCCCTGCTTTGGAGGGTCACATATTTCCCATCCCTGCTTTTGGTTGAAAGGTACTGCCCAGAGTACCTTTGAAAATCAAGGTGATTAGTACTCTAGAGAACTTGGTTCAAATCCCCACTTGGCCGTGAAACCCACTGGGTGACCTTAGGCAAGTCACACGCTCTCAGCCTCAGGGGAGGACAAAGGCAAACCTCCTCTGAAGAAATCTTGCCTAGAAAACCCCAGAATAGGTTTGCCTTAGGGTCGCCATGAGTTGGAAATGACTTGAAGGGACACAACAATAACAACAACCCAGGTCTCCATAGATGAAGAAACCAACACAGCCAGTAACACCCCAAAGGGCATCTGGAGCAGGACAAGCCAAGAATAACTCGACTGACCTGCTTTAGAAGCATGCGTCTTCAGTTGCGAATATTCACCTGTATTCAAATCTTTGATGCCAAGCTTGCACACGCCTTCTCCTCCTGAATAATGGAACTTTATCGAGGTGGGGCCAAAAACATCTCCTCAACCATTAGGTAAACACTTCCAATAACAACAAACTCAGCTAGCAGAGTGCTAATGGGATTATAACCAGAACAGGGGCAATGAGTAAGGAAAGAAAGAGCCAAAGGCTTATAGCTATCTTAGATTTGCAAAAGAGCAACCAGTCTCTGCAGAAACTTTAGGGCAACCCTAACATTTGCATTAGTATAATCAGCCTTTAGGGGAAATGTAAGTAGGGCATGGATTATAGCACCAGAGAAATCTTACAGAGTTCCAAACTCCAATTCCAAGCTACATAAGATGGAATCACACACTTAAAACGGTATCATGCTCCAGTAGAGAGATGTCTCTGTTCAAATGTGAATGAACTCTGCTGGATCAAACAAATGGCTTACCTAGTCCAGTATTCTAGCCACACAAGCTTTTGGGAAACCCATATACAGGACGCAGGAGAAAGAACAGCACCTTTCTATTCATATTTCTCAGCATATTGCCTCCTGAGAGTGAAAGCCAGCAGGATTTGCAAACCACCAGGAGCCTTATCTTCCATTCATTTATCATGTCCCTTGGTACAGTCCTCCAAATTCCTGGCCATCACTACATTTGTATAGCAGGCAATGTCACAATTTAGCCATGCACTGTTGTGATGTCTGATAGCAAGCTGGTGAAAACTACCACAGTCCTGAGACAGCAAAGCATGTCTACATGGACCAAATGAACCAGTTTTCCACTGCCCTCATGGAGCCTCGTCCACACAATGCAAGGCCAAAGACTCCACTTCAAGCGCAGTCCGTTTCCATGACACGAAGCCAGTTCTGCACCAAATCCAAGCCACCTCTCCCTTAATCAGATTAAAAACACTTTGGTGTTACTCTGGGTTTTCCAGGAAAATTTGGAGCACTGGAGAGCAACACTTGGCAACTGTTTACCCACATGTCCTGCTGTGCCATCAAGATCTGATGCGAATTGTTCCCTCTGAAGTCACAACAAGGTGTCCAGACAAGTGATGGATGTTGGGAGCCTTGTTTTTGACCTCAAAGGGAGCAACTTGCACCAGTGGCGGTAGCGCCAAGCAGCACAGTGAGACACATGTATAGACAGATGCTCATCACCGCTCCGGAGTGGGAAAATCAGGGGAATTCAGAGCAGTTTCAGAGAGCAGGAGCACCCCAGAGTATTTTGGCTGGTGAAGACGCAACCATAGACTCCATCAACTCTGTGGTGTGTGTTACACCTGAGAAGGTGATACGAGCTTGGAAACTGGTGTCTCAGAATTTCCCAGAAATACAAGTTTCTCAACCTTGTAAGATTACTCTTTTGAACATCTCACTTCCCCAGAGGAAGAGCCCACTAAGAAGGATGCAAGAGGGATAGTCTTCTCCAGCAAACCATTCCCCAGCAAATCAGAGGCACATGCACCTCCTTGCTGTACTTGCAGACATGTGAGACAACATCTGCTACCATCTGCGAAGCCAGAGGGTAGGTTAAACTGGACACTGAAGTGTTTAGCCTCCCATGCTCTGTATTTCTCTTTCTCCCTCTTTTAAGGGAAGGAAAAGCTTAAGAAAGAAAGAATCAACATTTTATTACTCAAAATTTATCCATCTCCACTGCCTACAGAACTGGAGGCGAGTACGGATTTGTCTTTCATGTTTAATCAGAGTTTATGAAACCTTGTTTAAAAGTCATTGCTTTAAGGGCTTCTCTCAGCAAGTAGGGATGCAATGTGTCACTAATTGTCCTTCTCAAAGGAAACAATGAGTAAATTTAGCAATTGTCTTCCCACTGCAAGAAAGACTCTGAAGCCTATTTTTCGAAGCCTATTTACAACTCGGGACTGATTCTGCGCAAAATTCGCACATGGTTGTTTTGAGCAGGAAACAGCCTTTTCTGTGAATAAAATAGTATTTCTGTGTGGAAATGATTTCCGTGCAGAAAAAAAAGCTGTTTTCTGTCCAAATCAACCACATGCAATGTTTGGGTGGAATGGCCCAACTGCAGCATTTTCTGTGCAGGAAACAGGTTATTTCCCCATGCATAGAAAATAGTATTTCCTAGCAGAAATATTATTATCTGTGCTGAAAAAGCTGCTTTCTGCACAGAAGATGTTGTCTTCTGTGCAAAACAACCATGTGAGAATTTTGCTCTCACAGTCCCAAACTGCAAAGTTTCTATCATTCTCAGCTTCTTCTCATCATAGTTTGATACTTTAAAAAATGTTTTACAGCAAGAGGTACACAAGACAAACCCATAAGCTTACATACAGAATGGGGAAAAACAACAGCTCTGAGGCAGAGCACAGACTTTACATGCAGATGGTCCCAGATTCAATCCCAATACGTCTGGGTGAAAAAACCCTGTCTTAAATCCTAGAAACAACACTGTTTGTGGTTTATGTTTTGGACTACAACCCTCAGAATCTGCCCAGGGTTTCTGGGAGTTGATTGTTTGGGATATAAACAATATTTGCACATTTCTCATCCTTTACAAGAAAGGGTATTTTGGAATGCTGAGCAAAATTGATAAACACAGGTATAAACTGTATTGAACTCCCTGGACCAAAGGTCTGGCTCAGTAGAAAGCAGTTTCCTTGTATAAATCTCAGCCCCAGCATCTTTCACAGTGAGCAATCCCGGTGTCCAAACGCTTCCACTCTGGGGCTCTGCTGCTTTATATTTTGGAGGCTGGACTTAAGACAATTAAACTGAGAACTGCATTTGCATTGAGAATTGCATTTGCATTGAAACTGGATCAGAATCACGTTTTTCAGGTCCCACAGCCCATTTCAAACAGGTGTCACAGACAAGCCAGGTGGCTCTGGGGACCTCACAGCAAAGTATGCAATGGCATCCTCTTCCCCAAAGATACACTGCCTCCATCCATGGAGGTTCCAACTGCATCAACGTTCCAGTAGCTTTCACCACTGAGGGTAAAACCCATTGCAAACCTAGAAGGCAGCAACGTGAATTTTGATACTTTGATGAAATCCAATTAAACACACATCTGCATACTCCCTGGAACAGGAACAGCAGGTGCTTTCTAATAGTTGGCAAAAACATTCTGCTTGAAAAGAGGAAAACCCTCTTTCTTCTGAAGTGTTTACTTCCAAAATGGTGAAGGAGTGCCTTAGGGCAAGGTAAGGCAGGAGAAATAGATACAGAACAAGTGGTACAGAACAACCTCTCTCCACAAGTGTGCTTTTGTAGGAACAAAATGATTTTCAAAGCCAAATCCATTCACTTTCAGGGATCCACCAAATGCAAAGCTGACATCCGAAGCTGACAGAGAATCAAAAGAGATAAATCACCTAGCTTGGAGAGATGGCTCTTGAAAGGGAAGGGATGACAGCGTAGCCTCGATAGCACATTTGCAGCATTTGCTCAGCTGACAAATGTAGCTGCCACCCAGAGAAAGAACAACTCCCAGAAGAAGGGGATGAGAGGGGAAGGTGTACCAAGAAATATACACACATGGGTAACCAACCACTTCATTTCCAGCCAGATCAGAGCTTAGAAAAATTATTTATGGGACTGCAACTCCTAGAATCCCCTGCCGGTGGCCATGTTGGTGGGTGGATTCTGGAAATCAGTATTATATTTATTTGTATCTTACCTGTATCCCAAAATCAGGACTCAGGGCAGTT